AGCTCATGTAGACAGCAAAGCTCCTGGCATGCTGACAGGAGAGTCTGGGCTGCTGGGCCCCACAGAAGCACTGCACACCAGCCAGCGTGGACAACCTCAACCTCAGATACCATCATCCCCCTCAGCCCCCACCTCCAGACAAGGAATTGTGTAGTGGTCACTGTCACCTCAGTGGGAATGCAGGCTCAGGCAGCCAGATGCACAACACGGAAAGTTCTACCACATCATTAGTAGGTGAGAAGTCCCAGATAAGAACCCCAGATTACTTTTAAGGTCAAGAGGAATTCACTACAACAGCCATCCCCACAGAGGTGCATGCACTGTGCAAGGCTAACAGCTGCTCAGCTTCTTCCTCTGCCTCCTCTGTCAGATGCCCCTCTCACAAGTCTGACATTACAAACTATTTTCTTTACTGAAAATAAACAACCACAAAAAATTCACTAACCACACTTCCACAAAAACCTTGGAAATAGTATGTTTTTTCCTCAATACATACTATATTTAAAAGCTTAAAAATTAATTCAGAGTACACAGCCAGTAAAGGACACTTCAGAGGAACACCTTTACCAATGCTCAGCTGAATTTTTTTTTTAAATGATTGTTTCAGTGCAGCCCAACAAAACCTGTTATCATGGGGAGGAAGGTAGAGCTTGACAGAGTAACACAAGGAGGTTCTCGTAAGGTTAGGCCATACATTGCCTATATACAATCCTCCCTTAACAAATTATGGTATTATTTGACAGACTGATGAATATTTTAAATCTCACATCTGATATTAGTAAAAAGTAACCATTAAAATTTCTTAAAATTGGTGGCAAGACATCTGGAAGAACACAGTGGACACAAAAGGTTTCAAGATTCAACATCACAGCTTAAGAAAAATGACCATTTGCTCTTTTACATCACTTTTTAAACAAAGCTATTCCTACAAAAGCCAAATCTATAGTGACAAGAATTTGTTTGCAATGGGGAGTAAAGTTCTAACGAAGATTTCCTGGAAATATTTTTAAAGAAACACAGAATGTATTTCTAGTAACGAGCATCTTATAACTCAGTGAGAGAGGGGGATCTTAAGGTGCTTTCCTTACAAGGACTAAACTCTTCAGGTTTTTCCAAAAGACAAACAACCTGTACAAGCTGACAGTCTAATTCCACAGCCAATTTTTTTTTTCCTGAACACAGCTTCTGTCTCTGCTCAAGCCTCCTGCAGTCCCAGATCAGCTCACACTTCTGGCAGATGACAACATTTCTTTGCATACATTTATGCAAAAAAGCGGCAGGAGCCAGGCAGCTCCTCGGAGGTACAGCAGCATCTTCTCTCTGAAGATGTTTCATAAGCCTGAAGCATACTGAGAATAATGCTTCAGATTTCAGGTGCTATACAGTGTTACTAAAACTCACCAGCCAGAGCTTACATCTGCTCTACCTTTCAGTCAGACTTGAGCTACTTGATTGGCAGCAGACACAACGAAACAACTTCTCAGCAGAGCTAGACACACACTGACCATGGCCTGAGGCTGGCACCTGTTGTAAGGATCTGAAGGTGACAGCCAAAGTGCAGCACCTTGGAGAAACCAGCACCACACACAGCTGCTGCCACAGAGTTTATAAACAAGAGGTCAGTGCTCACAACATGCCAGAAGCATAGTGCTTGCACTGTTGATGAGACAAAAAGAGAAAGAGGCCTTGTTTGGGGAAGAGATGGACAGTTTTGTTTTAGACTTCATATTTATCTGCTTTGTATTTGAAACTAAGGCCATCCACAACTTCATGCATTCAAGTACTATTATTGTGTATACAGATGGTCAGTTAAAAGTGACCTGAGGCCCCTTCTCTGTCAATTCCAGGATACACTTGCTAATGATAAATTGTTATGGAAGACAGATTTAAAGAGAATAAAATAATGAAGTTACTATTCCTAGCTGTTCACAGGTGAGACAAAAGAATTACCTAGGAATGCATCCACTAAACAGCTGATCCCACGCATGGCACGGAAGAATATTTGAGGCAGATGTTTAAGGCAGGGGTACTGATTCAGTTCTTGAGTCATCCCACTCACATTCAGAAACTGCTCCTGAAATTTTGGGGTTGAGCTAATAATGGCTGGGTTACTCAAATCCACAGGATTACTGCAAACAAAACCAGCAAAATATATTTTAGTCAGAGCAAGAACAGCTGTAAGGATTTTAAAAATACTTAGATGCAATAGTTTAGAGGCATTTAAATAGCAACACAACAGAACATCAAATATCAATATTTTTTTGCATTTATTCCACCACAGGAAGTAAATTTTCACTTCCCAGGTTGGCAGTACTTAATTTCAAATATTACCCAAATAGACTGAAAAATTTTATTATGATCCAATGAACCAGAGCATACACTTGATAGAATAATCCCACCATTGCAGTAATACTATTTGTGAGAGCTTTTAAACTCATTTTAGGAGGTCCTTACATTGTTAAAACTATTCCCAAAAGGTAAGCAATGAATTAAATATTGCCAGCAAACAGTGACAAGACAGGAAATGGGCTGGAAAATTTCAGCAGTTTTTCCTGACTGATAGAATCATGTAGCAGCAGTTCCAGATTAAAAGAGTAAAGGAATTGAGACTTCACTACCACAAAAAAAAAAAAAAAAGAAGAGGTTTGGGTTTTCTTTTTAGCTTAGTCAAGACACAGCTTTTAAACAATCTAGTGTTTATCTAGCTTTAGTTAATAAATAATGTTTTATATGAGAAGTTTAATGTTCTGCCCATTCAGAATAGTGCAATGCCATTCCCAAGAATCTTTACAACCAAGCATGCCACTCAAATACATGACAGAACCAAGGCAGAGTCACACGGATGTTAAAGTTAACCATGTAGCTTTCTTCATAAAAACAAAGATAGGCACATTTTTAAAATAATTTAATACCCTGGAGAACCAAAGGAAGTAATGGACATCTCTGGGAGTTATTGTTCTGCTCTTCCTGTTTGCTATCTCAGAAAAACAAAGTTGTATCACAGTCTTGTTTTTCAGATGCTTCAAAATGCCAAATAGCTATGAACTTTTTCATTAAATGGACCAGTTCACATTCCAAAAGAGTCAAAGAGTTCAAAGTTGAACAACCCACTTTCAATCTTGCCCTGAACTGCTGGAGGGCACTGGTACAAGTCTCTGTACTTTATTCTAAGTGCTTAACCTCAGCATCCTCCAGATGAATTTTTCCTTTGTCATGTAGATTTGTAGAAATGATGGAAAAATACAAAAAATGGGTGGCTGTAATTACAATACCTCAGCATATGTAAAAAGCGAAACCAAGTTTGTGCCACGCACTCGTTATCCATCTCAGGAGGAATCAGACCAGCATCCTCATCAGGGATCTTGAACGGGGGAAAGGAAGGGCCGTACGTGAAACGCAGCAATCTAGAGAGCAAGCCAGACACCTGTCAGTGAACAGTCCCCAAAGACTTAACGGTGCATTTGAGCCTCTAAGTAAGCAGCAGTCCACAGGTGAGCCCACAAGCAACAGCCCAAGGCCCCAAGTATTCCCAGAGACCCCCATTTACACAAGCATTCGGCCCTCCCACAGCTTTGAAGGGTACGTGCCTTGGAGCCTGCCCAAAGGCCCAGGCAAATCCAAGAGCTGTTGGGGCCCAAGCCCCACAGCAGCTCTGGGGCTGCTGAGCCCCGAGGGTCACCAGTTAACACTGGCACATGCAGCACTGGCAAGATGTTGTATAAGAAGGGGGTCCTTATCCCCAAGGCTCTTTAGCTAACATGTCCAATGACACCAACAGGTCACGTTAGGTTACAGGAGTAAATTCCAGGTTATTGATGGCTGACAGTTTACACCAGCACACTGAGCAACACTCGGTGCCATCCTCCAAGCAGCACGGGACTTGCAGTCCAGAGTAGCAAGCTCTTGAAAAAAGATGCATTATTTTTTGGAGAAGCCAGAAGCTGCAGAACAGCAAAGAGGAAACCCACAGAGGGCTTCACAGCAACACAGTAGCATCAGGACAATGGCTTAGACAAATGGAGATCTTTCTCTAGAAGAGTTGTAACTCCCTGACCAGCCCCAATAAGCTTCACTGAGCCACTGCTCTGATTTGGCTGCTGCTTCATCTCCAGCTTTGTGGGTTTACAGATCAATTTTCCCAATAACAATCTTGCTGTTCTCGAAAGGATGGAAGAGATCCAAGTTGCACCTTCTCAATCTCTCTGTGTTCCCAGCAACCAGTTTTTATCTTTCTTTCCCTTTTTTTTCCCTAAGTCAAACTCACTTTTAGCACCATTTCTTGCTTCAGTTATCACACAGTTATCACTTATTTCTAAGCTTGTAATGGACAAGAAATGTCCCATTCACCATTGCCCACTTATAAGGCCAGATAGTGTTATAAAGTCATTACAACTGGGAGAAAGGGGAGGAGAGCAGTCTATGGGTGACTCCTAAACTCCACTTCACTCCAATGCTGGGCACTACAGCAGCTTCCAGCCAACTAATGCAGAAGACACCCAAAGCATGTTTGCACTCTCAGCCTATCACAGTAACTAACTTGGACAGGAAAGCAAATGAGCTTTAGGGCTCCTTCAGGTCCAAACCAGAGTGCACATGCCTGTACCAGGCAGTAGCTCCTTCCAGCAGCCACACTTATGCCCCAGCACCCATCTACATTCAGTGCCCCAGAGGCAGCACCCCACAGTGGGTTTCTGCTGAGCAGCACCCAGCTCTGACACACCCAGCAGAGTCTGGGCACCCCCCATGCAAAGCCATGTCCCACACCTGCTCTGCAGTGGGCTGCACTCCTTCACCATCCTCCCCTGTGAGCTGCAGGAAATCATCTTTTCCAGGAACACGGCTGAATCTTAACTGAAACCTGGGACAATCTGAAGAATGGCTGAAGACAGAAACAAACTGTTTCCACACACCCAAGCCTGTTACAACAGATTCCCAGCAGCCCAGAGGGGCAAAGCAGTGCCTGGTGCCAGGGCCTCCCAGGGAACTCCGCCGCGCCGTCGCACAGTGGGTCCTGCCAACCCTGCCCACCTGCACACCTTTCCCAGCAGAGCTCTCCACACCATTCTGCAATGTTTCCTCTCAGCTTCCTGCTAACAACCCAACTCAGAAAACAGTTTACCAAAACAACACTGTAACTGTTTGAGGCTGGAGCTTCAATGAAGTGTTAAAAGTGCAGCTTAAAATACCACTGAGCTCAGAGCCTCAGAGGAATTCCACGTTTTATGTATTAAGTAGTAGGCAACATTAGTGAGGAGCAGACTAAGACACTGCAGAAAGCCTGCAGCTTACTGTGCATCAACAGGACTAATGGTTAGTCAGCAGTGGAAGATAGTGTGGGCCTAGTGCATGGGGCAGAACACCAACGTGTGTTTTGAGAGGGAGCTGTTCTTTTCAGATCAGTGAATCATAAAATGTTTTCTGTTACGCAACGCTACATCTAATGAGCTAAAAATAGCTAAGGAAGCAGCGTGGGAAATACACAGAGCTTGTATTGCAGCTTTATTTCCCACAGGTTTAACAAATAGCTGCATAACCTGGGAAAAAAAAAAAGAAAAAAAATCTATCCACACTTGGAATTTTGACAGGTAATTCAAAAGCAGAATTTTTCAGAGTTAAAATAATTCCTTGCAGAAAAGTGTACTACTGAACTTTTCACAGCACAGCACTTTTAACACATCTTTGAACTTTCATAGAAATGGTTGACATCTCAGGAGAGCTGGGAGGAATAGATCCAGACCCCTGCTCCTCACCAGTTAATTTAGTTCTTTCTTCCAAGAGACTGAGATTTGTCCTGTAAAGGCTTCACACCACAAAATCCCCATTATTAAGGGTACTGAGACTCCCCTCACTGTTCAGGGTCTCCTACTGCAGCTCACACCTCCTCACCCTTCCCATGCCCAGCACAGCCTGGTGCAGCTCTCCTCTGACACTCCCTGGAGGAGAGGGCCACTGGCCCAGGAGAGCCTGTAGCCTGGCTCTGGCCTGGCGCCAGGCAGCTACAGCACAGCCTCAGCTCTGCAGGACAGGAGGGGCAGGGGCCAGGAGCCACCTCCAACAGCAACACGCAGGGGTAACAAGCACCTAATAATAGGGTGGTGACTGCTGTTAGACACACGGGCTGCTATGCTGTGCCAATATTCATGACTCCTCCTTCACGGGACATGAGGAGGAGCCCCAGTGATGGAGACCAGCAACACACACTGCCAAGTGCCAGAGATCAGAGAGACGCCGAGATGACCCGAGAACAGAGCTGAGCCAGTTCAGACCTTCACCTGTGGGACAGTCACACATGCAAACAGTAAAACCCAAGGACAACAGCCAGATCTCTCCCTTTGTTTTGCCTGTTGAATTTGGAATGCTGTGCATCCCACACGGAAGCAACTCCAGAGAAAAACACACATAACCATGATCAGCCCTGTACAGACGTGTTTATCTCCGTGGGGTTTCTCCTACCTGGAAGTGAGGGCACAGATGACCTTGCTCCACTGCTCAACTACTGCAGGGTGATGTCGCCAGTTGGCCACCATCTCTTTGGCAGTTTTCCAGTAAGGTGGTGTTGGAAAGCACCGTGTGCAAGCCAGTAACCACACCTCAAACAGCACGCCAATTAACTTTTCAGCCAGATTCTCAGCAATGCCACCTTGTAACAGAAAGCAAACATGTCTTTAGTGAGTATTCAATCTAAGTAACTTCAAATATCTCCCCAAGGAGATCTCAATTTAAAAGCATAAAGATTAAGGGTTTTTTTCCCTCATTTTTTAAGACTGACTCCTGATTGCTTCCTACAGCCAATTAGCCTTTTTACAAGACCAAACAACATATAAAGCCCAGCCAAGATACATGTGTCACCAAGGGACACTAGGAATCCACTGATCTTAGGCTGTCTTCCATTGCACTGTACCCATACTGATGTCTCTTTTTAAAAACAGGTACAAACTGACCACACTGTTTTCCAGCAGGCAGGCCAAACAGCATGAGACCCAGGGGGTGTTCAGCAAAACAAACAGGTAACAACCTTGTCTAAAACCATTCACCAGGAACCATTCCTGTACAGTCACTGTTCTGCAAAAACATGTTTAGGACAGGTCTGCTCCAAATCATTCAGCTTTTCTGACAATGCTTTATTTCAGAGTCATGTAGCAGGATTAGGAGTCAGCTGTTGTGCTCTGGTGGCTTCCAAAAGCCTTTAACAGGCATCCCCCACCCCTGCCCCTAGCAACGTCAAGCACAGCCAAAGTTTTTTCCAGTAATTGAATCAAGTGGAAGTTGAATATGAACCTTGCACAGTTGGAGCTGCTAGAAGAGTGTCATTGATCTGGAGAAGAAATAACAACAAAACCTCCCAGGTTTCTCTCGCCATAATTGTCGATTCGCGAGCCAGTTTCTGGACAGCTTTCAAAACCTGCAAGCACAATCTAATCTGACTAGATCCTGGGTCTGGCCTGCAAAAGAAGAAAACAATACTTGAGTGTCTAAACGAGAGCTACGAAGTGACGCACACAATCATCCCAGCTTTGGGCAGTTGCAGGAAGCAACATCAAGATTACTGAACAAGAGCCAAGAGCAGCAGCTCCCGCACTGCTGTGCACCCCGGCTCTCTCCCCAGCTGACCAGCTCTGCCTGAAGGACAAGATGTACCATAACACTGCTCCACAGAGCCAACACTAACTGGAGGAGCCACAATCCTTATCTCAAAGGAATTTATCCTAGACCAGACAATGAGAATGTAGCTGAGACATCAATAATTGTTACATATGTAATTCAGAAGGAAGGTGGCAAAATTAGGAGAAAATATGTTTGCAAGCTCATTTAAATGCTTCCTAGATCTCTTCTTGTTCTCAAATGTAGATCAAGCTCCTACCCCCAATTCCTTGGATTTAGAAAAAAAAAAATCTAGAAGAGGGTCATTAATTATGGAAATCAGTCTAAAGGAAGAGAGTAAGGGAGAAAGGGAACAAGTTGATATCAAGTTTTTTGTTACAGTAACGAGTTCCACACCATCCCTGCTGAGCCACCCCACGTGGAGCGCTGCAGGAGCAGCACAAAGCAGGCTCCTCTCTGCCCTGAGTCAGGCTGGACAAGGCAGAACAGGCACAAAATAGAACTGTGAAATGTTCTGGACAGCATGTGAGGACACTGGTAAGCAAGGCTGAGGAAGCCTAAAACTTAAAGGCTGAAAGAAGAGATTACAAATTAGTGTGCAATATATTCAAGCTACATTTCAACTAGTACGTTGTTTCCTCATCCCTGTCACCACTTACTGAAAGGATGGCCAAAAAAATTATAACAAATATTACCATCCACTGGACTACTAAGCAGTATTACCAGATTCCTAGCAAACACTTCCAGTGTGGTATAACCCACAAGCCACGTGGCATAGTAAGCACCTTGGGAACATGCTGATCCAGCAGACAGACATCTGCTTTTCTTAGAGAATCGCAGCTCACACCGAGATCACTTACTGACAGGTGTGCTTTAAAAATCCTGCCCATTCTTATGTTGGTAGAATAAAAGTTGTATTACAGTACTGGAAACAAGATCACAAAGAGACAAGACAATATATAATGAAAAATTGTAGACCACCAGCTACACTTCAAGACTTCAGTGGGTTGTTCGATCCTAGTGCTAGATCCTAGCAGATAGTCTCTGGGAGATGAGGAAGGAAGCTACTTTAATCACAACCTTCCACAGGACATAGATTTATAATAAAGGCTTAGTATTTTCAACAGAAGAAGAAGAGACTTTCCCAAGAGAGCTCCTAGGTGAGTATTCTACACGAGCCCATCAACACTAGGAACCTGCATCAATTGGGTAAAACCAAAAATTTTTCTCCTCTTCCCCTTTCCAGGCACGTAAGAAGATAAGCCTTTGCTTTCATTCAAACATGGTGTGCACAACCCAGTGCTGCACATATTCTCCTTTGTGGAAGCCCTTCCAGTTGCTGGAGTAAATTCTGAGCACAGCTCCCTGGAGGACAAAGCTTGGAATTTAAGTACTTTTTCTTGAAAACAGAGATGAGACTTGAACATAATGTGTTGACAGCAGCAGACATAAAACAAAACGACCCAAACTGCTTCAGATATATTTCACAGAAT